CATATACGTATCAACAGACATGTTGATATACCCCCCTTTTAGCACGCCCTTCGTTCGCACGTCCACGAAGCGTGACCCAGTTCCCAGCCACGGACGCACGCCGTGAGGACGATGTGAGACGACGGGCGTGTACTGAACTTCTCACGAATGCTATTTCCTACGTCCAACCCCCAATTTTTCTCGTAGCTGGAATACAAAACACGTCAGTTCTCGCTATAATCTCATTGTCTCTGAAGATGGCCTCTTGTACAATGCTGAAGGCTGAGCCAAATGCCAATGCTCTCCCGCCTTTGTAAAAGAAACCTGGAGCTCGCACATTCGATTCCATTAGGGCGTTAAATATATGTTAGGATGTTATCTGGCTGTCGTTGACGGACATCAGCACAAATATTCATACGTAAGTATTGAAATATTGGCATCCCAAGATATTAATTATGAGAATAATATCAAACTTCGGTCTGCGCCCATAAAATTTGTTTGACAAAAGTAGTTTATGTAGTGTACTTACTATACACTATTCCCAACATTTGTCCAATGTAAACGCTGTCTATAGGGTTTTCGGGAGTGGGGAAACAGGATAGGCAGGGAAGGAAATTTTTAGAAGTGATAAGTGAAGAAATGTAGTTGAATTTGTTTCTCGTGGCCGCTGGTAGTAAGTTTTTCCGCATGTAACTTGAAGGTGTGGCGCTTCGCGCTGTGGATTCTATTTATCTAAGTCCAGAAAAGTAACTTGTACCTCAGGTAAGTTGAAGTAGAGGAGCTTCTAACCACTTTCTCTTTTTCAGGAATTTCAAGAAACATGAAATTTGATAATCGGGTGTTTCCGCAATACGTTAAACAATAATACAGATTAAGAAAATCTACAGATATAAATGAACAACATTTCTAAATACAGTAAAATTAAAATGCATGCAGCAGTTACTAAAGTACATTCCACTGCCTACCCTAATTCCCCACCCATAAAACCCCTATAACCACCGTTTCCGTAGGACAAAATGCTGGCACTAGGGAGTAATTAGGTGCACTGCATAAACAACGGTCACATCCACCCATGCTACTCAACTGAATATGCTGCCCCGCTGCTAC